AAAGAGAGACTGGAGATAGGTTGTGGTTAGGCTGAGGAACAATGTGGGTTAGTATTGATTTAGAGACCCAAATTTACCACCTAAAGAACACTGGTAAGTTCATTACCCTTGGGCCGCTAGCCTTTGTCTTAGACACAGTCAATGACAGTGAGATTTGAATATTTTTGTAAGTGATTAAAGTTGTTTATTTCAACAACAATTTTTCCTTAAAATGAAATTTTGTTCTTACCACTGATATTTATAAACCTTACTAATTTTAAAGTCAGTTGGTGGGTGATAACTGGCAACGGAATCCAGGATGCGCGTTTCGTCCTATGTAAGACTGGTCATTTGGATGTGCCGGCATTCTCCGGTGACTAATGGTGTTCCCACTGAGGCTCAAACCCACTCCCCATAGTTTCAAATGCCAAGGCGTTATCCACTAAACCACTTGGGTCACGAGTCTTAAATGGGACGAAATGTGCCTCCTGGATTCCACTGTTAGTCACTATCCACCAGTTGACTTCAGTTTACATGATCAGACATCGTTGAAGCATCTGCATAAGCACTTTGGTCCAATCAACTGACGAGAAAATCTAAAGTGAATTAAATGATTTGCTAATTTTATTACTGTAAACCGTGAACATCAGAGAATAGTCTTAAAGCAAATGAGTACTTTTCTATCAAAGTAAATTTAAGAAACTAGCACATACACACAGTACTCTTTTGAACATTAGCAGAAAATACTGGCACAAATAGGTCATTGGTGATGTCTCTGACTAAAGAAGTTGGTATTCATCAATGAAAAAAAAACATAACACTTACTGACACTTTCAATCATGTAAATTTATAAAAATAATTTTCAATGAAGGATTATCTAGAAGTTTGAACGCTTGACTTTTCTTCCTTGAAAAAAAATATTAACAATATACACTTAACCTTGACTCAATTATGTGCATCACTGATACTAGAACTTGGTGACAGAGGTCTAAATCTTTGTGAAAATATAAAAATCTCTTGAAAGTGACTTGTATTCCATTCAGGTGAATATCAAAAAGCATGAAACCACAGATGAGTATATAAAATAAACCAAAACCAACTTGTCGCAGTTTTGTATCTGCCTACTCGACTGGATAGAATGAAGGTGGTCAGTTGTGGTCTAAAATTTCCTCTGTTAATTGGTCTTATGTGATGTTGTATTACGAGCTGACAGGAATGTTGTATTCGTATCAGATGTGACGCCTGACTGTTTTAAAGGTGTTTTATCAACTTTTATTTTTACACAGCTAGAATATCTGTTATGGTATTTTGCTATACTAAGCGAGAAAATACATGGTTATTGCCTTCATTCTGATGTTCTTTATTATTATTATTGCTCCCTTGGGTTCCTAGTGGAACATAGGGCCTCAACTGCACGTCTCCATTTTCTTGTCTTCTGCTATACTTTTCGCCTGCATCCATGTTAATCCATATTTTTTCAACTCCTCTTCACACGATCTCCATGTCACCCTTGCACTGACGTCCCACACGCCGCTTCCCTTTCGGGTTCCACTCGAGGGCTTGGCGCGCGATGTCACCCAGCGGTCTCCTCAGCGAGTGTCCGATCCATCTCCACTTTCTCCTGCATATTTGTTGGGCGATTGGTTCTTGTTTTGTTTGTTCCCATAATTCCTTGTTGGTGATTCTTTCCGGCTATCTGATCTTCAGTATAGATCCAGCGAAGACAGTTGTTAATAAAGGTCTGCAGCCTTTTGGAAATATTCTTTGTGACTTGCCCGCCAAGTTTCTGATACGTTTGTATCGAAAATCCGACCGGATTTTGTTGTTGATCCTGGCTGAGTGACGAAGATTTCCAGATTGATTTCAGGCTGATGAATGTGTTTCTTGCCTGCCTTCCCGATTCTCGATTTGACATCCTCGTCCGCTCCTCCTGTAGTTGAGACAATGCTCCCTAGATAAGTGAATGAAGTAGCCTCTTTCAAATCCCTCCCGTTGATGGTGATTGACATTGGATGTTGTTGCTGTTGTTGGTTGGTTATTTTCATAACCTCCGTCTTGTCTATGTTTACTTGGAGTCCTGTCTTTGCTGCTTCTTCGACCAGTTTGTAGGTTTTCGCTTGTAAGTCTTCGATTGTGTGTGACATCAAACATAAATCATCCGCGAAATCCAGGTCTTCTAGGTTCTTCACGTCGGTCCAGGATATTCCTGTCTTCTCGTTTCCCACTGTCTGACGCATAATCCAGTCCACCACCAGAAGGCTGATGAGATTGCTTATGTACTGTAATGAATCAGAAAATATGAACTAAAGCAATAATAACCAGTGGATTACGCGCTCTAGAATTTGAAACGATGGGTACTGGGTTCGAGTCTAAGTGGGAATACGATAACTTACCGGGGAATACAAGTACATCCAGTAATGAGTCCCAAATAAAGTGAAATGCGTATTCTGGACTCCACTACTAGTCATGCACACACAACCTCTCACCAAAATTACTTCAAATCGAAGTTTATTTCAGTATATTGTGATAGAAAACTCAAGAGTGTATAAGAGAATAAAGGAGTGAGCAAGTAAAATCTACCTTCATTAGAATCTTAATAGCTTATATTTAATTCACTGAATTATCTTTTTTTCCTTTCTTCATCTAACTATTCTCATTTTGATTTTCACACACGTATTCTTTTCAACTATCTTGATAAATTTCTGAGTGCATCCGATAAATGTCACACTATCAAACGTTATAAATTGACGATATCAAAAACAAAAAAAGAATGAATTTATAACTCATCAAATTTAATCTTTAATCCTTATTTCCAATTAATGTATGAAAATCTTCTATTCAGATTATAAATTCCACACGTTTTGTCTGTGACCATACTATGTTGAATTTAATTCGCATAAATGAATTCAGTACTTAGAACATTTCATTTCTCTTATGCTACTTTACCGTGTTAACCAGCGTTTATAATTTTCAGAATAAACTGAAAGAATTCCTTAAGATAAAAATTCTAAACTTTCAAGTATTAGTTTGTAGGGATTCTATTTGTTTCAGTTGAGACCACGGATTGATACCATTTAGAAAACCACTGGACAGCTGTTTCATTCCAGTTTGGGTCTCATCGACAGTACACACCCACTGGGTTTCGAATCCAAGACCTTCATGTTACAAGACAAGCTTGTGTGCCATTCAGCTACTGGGATCTGATTCAATGGTCAACCCATGAATTCTTACTTATGACAATTTGTGATTTTAGGGCGACCACCAACCAGTGTCATCGGCAGGAACTTCATCCTCACTGCCGACTGGATAGACCCCACTGGTCACGACTTCTCACTAGAACTCCTGGCAACTTCGTCCTGTAACCAGCCACTAGCGAGCACCAGATTATTTTCTAGAATTAGTTTGTAGAGATTCTATTTGTTTTTAGGTTAGATCACGGATTGGTGTCACGTAAAGAACCATCCAGTCAAGAGTGATGATGGAGTTCCTACTGATGACATTTGTAGGTGGTCACACTGAAAACTCAAATCGGTAGAAGTTAGAGCTGATGGGCTTTTGAATCGATTCTCAATGGTACACGAGCTTGTCTAGTAACTGGAAGGTCCCGTGTTTGATGCATATCATCAAGGAGTCTCAAGCTAGGATGAAGCAGCTCTCCAGTACTCCTTGTTGGTTTTCAATAGTTCCCTAACTGATATCCACCCACGGTCTAACCTAAATAAAAGTGCTAAATTGTGAATATTTTGACTGGTCAAGGCTTTCTCTTACTTCTATGCATAATTCCTGTTTCATCCAGTTTCATTCTGTCAATGGAGACAAGTTTCTTGTAGTCTGCTTAATAATAAACATACAACTGCGATTTTAGTCATATTAACACATGCATTCGCTACACTCATTGTTAACTTGAGGCCTTTTTAAAACCAAGGTAATCCCTAACTAATGATTCATTCTTGCACTGTATAGTGGATGTAAGCTACAACATATATTGTACATTAGTTAAATTGTACCTTCAGTAGTGTTCCAAATGAGACTCGAAACCTTCATCCATAGATTCAAAGGTCGAAGTATTATTCTTTAGGTTGCACTAAGGGCAAAAAACTAGAAATTAAGGTTTGGTATAATCAACTTACGGGAAATACCAAATTAACTTAAACAAATGTAAAGTGGCATATGTGACAAAGTGTTTATACAGACTAACAAGTCATTCATGACAAGATGTCCGATGTTTGGACTCAAAAACCATGATGCTTAAGATCTATCCATCTTTTTGTCTATCATTACAGAGTTTCTACAAAAGTATAACAACTGATGCTTTCTAAATTCTACAAACTCTCACTACTTATTACTAACGTCAACGATTTTATGAACTTCATTTAAGTATTACAAATAACCTCATTTAAGACTGGATTATTTATACCATCTTTAAACAATATGCACCAAATACTCGCAAAATAAGTCTATGTATTTCAAGTTTTATTGCAGATTGATATCATTTGCAGAACCACTGGAAAACAAGGGTACTGGATAGCTGTTTCGTTCTAATCTGACACTCTTCAGTAGAAAAATCAAATTCCTACAAACTTACTCTGGAGAACTAATCTGATGCTCACCAGTGACTGAATACATAGAGGAGTTGACAGCAGTTCTAGTGCAAAGTTATGAGCAGTGTGAGGATAAATACTTACTTGGGTGGCAGTCGCGCCAAAAGCGCGAATTGAGAGATGTTATATTTCACCAGTCATAGAATATTATCCCAAGTAGTTGAATGGTTAACCAGCTTGGTTGTAGAATTCCAAACTAGGTCGAAATAACTGTCCAGTGGTTCCTTGTTTCCAGTGGTTCTTCAACTAACATCAGTCCAATGGTCAAACGTGGAACACATCGAATCCTCGAAAACTAATTCTTGAAAACTGTGTTTATAATTTCACTTGCAGCCGATATTAAAAATTATTACGTTTTCAAGTGACGTCTTTTCTACTTTTCTCTTTTTTTTCTTTTTCAAATAACATCGTTGAATAAAGTAAACAGAATGTTAAAGATCACACCAGTACTCCATGCACTGCACATATTTCAAATCCCAGTGAAAAATCACCTAGCTCTACAATAATTAATGGTGAAATTGTGAATAAATTACATAAAACTAGTAACACAAATACCTCATTACCATTTGGAAGTACTGTAGCCAATATAATGGCTGAAGCTGTACACGCAGTTAGTGGTAGTGGTGGTGGCGGCGGTGGCAGTAGTACTAATACACCTGGAGTCACTGGTATCGGAGGCAGTCATACAGCCAATGTATGTGAATCATGTCATAAAACTAAATTTGCTGACAACTCTGGAAATTCATGTGTGTATTGCAAGCGTAGAACGTGTACACGATGTGGAAATCATTCAGAAGTCAAACCCAATGTGGTAAGTTTATACTATTTGCATTAGTAGATAAATATTTAAGATTGTTAAATATTCATTAGAAAACAACTACCTTTCACCTGAACTTTCTAAAATGGTTCCTTTCTTCCCAAGGCTTTTGTAATCTGTGCCACGAACAGATAGGTCTGATTTATTCAAAATCATTTGACATGAACAATCAAGATGTGTAAGAGACATTTTCGAGCACATGACGTAGAAGATGGAAAATGAACACTGTTAATATTTGTAAAATAACCAGAATGCATCTCAACAACACAATTCATATTTGATCTACAATATCATCTAATCTGATCAATGATACCCACCGTTTCATTGCCATCTAGTCATTTCATTTTGATCAATACATCTGATTAGGCTTCCTTCAGAGTAGAAACTGCATTTCCGACTATACCTCAGTCAAAGCTAATTGAAATGCAAGAGATCTGTTTGAAATACGTTTGAAATATGTGATAAGAATGATTTTTAGCTATATCCCAAGTTATTAGATCTTAGCAACCAATCAGGAGCTATACACCTTTCTGCATGGGTGTTTCAGAACGAACTGTCAAAACCTTTATGAAATGATGCCAGGCTTTGATTTGACCACTCATAATAATAATAATAATAATAATAACAGCTTTATTCCAAACAGTATTTGCGGTAGAGGTATGGAATTTTCAACGTGCATTACAATATTGCATCTAATTACCTCATAAATTTTATAACATTTTAAGATCAAAAAGCAACAACCAAAAAAAGGCAAATAAAAAAATAAAAAGAACTCTAACTCTTTTCCAACCGAAATGTAAGTCAGCTAATATTGCTCGTCAATGAAGGCGTTGGGTTGGCATGAGTAACACGATTCCTAGGCATGTCAGTCGATTTGCCTTCACAAGCTCATCAACTGATTCCCCATCCTTGCCTAAAATAATCTACAATTAACCTCATCACTGCTCACCATATTATGCCATTTAGCACAGGAGACAGAACGTAAACATCTGTGTTCTAAGACAGCTAGCCTTTTCTTGTCTTCTAATTTCAGTAGCCATATATCACAGCTATATATAAAGAGAATAGGGTGAACTGTTGCACAGTACATACACACCCTTCCTTCGATAGCTAGATATCACGCCTACCCTACAGAGACGACATAAATTGTCAAATGCCACGTCAGCCTTCTGTATCCGTGCTGAGATTCCTCAAATATGCATCTATTAGATACATTATTGTCATTCGGAACAATATTCTTTTTTATTTTGATTACAGCTCGATGCCACGCCGTATTTTATATACAAGTATGGAATTTTCAGCATGTGATATCGGTAAACCAAATTTTGCTGGCCGAGCATAGATATCGGGTGTGCGTCGGCTGGGGATCGAACCCCAGACCATGTGCATGATCGGCAAGAGTCCTAATCACTGTGCCACCGACGCACATTTTGATTAAGTGACTAGATAATAAGGAGTATGTGTTTATTTGTATGGTTTCAATGATTTAGTACCTTGTAGGAAACCGATTTGAAGGTTAATTAGCCCATGATACCACTATTATCTGTCTAATAAGCGCTGTTTTAACAATTCTTGACAATGGTCAGTGTTTTGTATCATAAGTAATATCCATTTATGATGTTAATTAATTAAGGTTATTTTCCTTTTTTGTTTCAAGATTCAATGGGTTTGTAAACAATGTATTCAAAAACTCGGTACTCCTGAAGGACAAAAAATGTCACCCAACTCTACTTTACCCCAGCATACAGAAACATCTGTGAGTAGTATTACTGGACGTTTAGGTGAAAGTATTAAGAGTTTTATATCTAAACCAAAAACACCGGATATTAAAAGGTAAAGTTGTTCAATGTTACTTTCTTTCCCCCTTTTTATTTCTTTTTTGAATACAAAACAAAGTAACTGTTTGTGTTTATTTACGACGTATATTATGCTGAAGGTTTCTTTTTTGTGGAATATAGAAGAGAGCAAATGTTAAACAATTTTTATTCCAGTATGATGAAAGTGTCAATCAGCCCTTAGTAGTTCGCATTTGTTGTATCCAAAAGAAAGCAAAATACTAGTTTAATTCAATACGTGCAATGGCCATAGTCATTATGAAACGGTAGAATACGAAAGAGTTGGTTAAGGATTGTTTATTATTGATTTGGTATCTCCATATAGCCAGATAATGTAATCCTTATCTTTAACGCACCATTTGCACCGATTTTCCGTGTTGTACTACTTCTCGCCTTCCTTCATATTGTGTTTCTTTGTATTCCTTTCACGTCTCCTGTGTATCTCCGCAAGGCTATATCATTTGCTTTCTCTGACATCAAATTTATCTCTGTGCTATTTGACGTTTGTTATGCCGATGAACGTCTCTTCATATACTACTGAAAAATCTTGTCAATAGCACAAACCACAATTATATATACATATCCTTCTCTAGAGCTGAAGACAATGTTACCGGTACATTTTTTCCTTTTAATTCCTTTACGTTTCGGAATGGAACACAAGGTTTCTGACTTCAGCTTTAAAGTTCCATTAGACGGTGGTGTTTTCATGGATTAGGGTTGCTAGCCTTACGCCCAATCATCCCCCTCTACTTGGCTAACTACCTACTGGTTAACTAGACGAGGTTTAGGAGCTCATCGACCCGGAATATAACCTGGACTATGTCTGTGTTTCGCGTGTAGTCAACCACTGAATCACTGACGCACATTACCGGCAAATAATTCTCAGTATACATAATGAACAATAAAAAACACCAAGATATACATATATTTTATTTGGTGTCAAAGATGAGATTCTCACACATTTACAATACTTTCGTATCATACTACACTAGGTGTGCGTATTAACTGTTTCCTTCATTGAGTACTTGTTTACATCCTAGACATCATTACAGTCGGCTTCAAAACAAATGAGTTGAAAGAATTACTCCATAAGTCACTGTTTCTGTCATTTTATCGCTATTTTCATACACCCATATTTCCATTAATCGCTCTGTTGACTTCAAATCTAATATTTGATCTTTTTATGGTTTTTCAATCCTTTATACTGGCCAATATGTTGAAACATTAGTAATAAGTTTGTTAATTATTGTGTGGCTGGAATGTCAGTTATTTGTAAGAATCCTGTATCATCTGTTACACTTCTCATATTCACAATCGCCGAAATTCGTGGTTATCTAAGTTCATTCCATCCCTTTGTACCTGTATGTATTTTTAACGTAAGATTCGTCTTTTATGACAAAAGATCAGAAGACACAAATTCCTCCTTTTAAGTTAGTTTCGCATAGAAAATATTCTTCTCTTAAAAGGTGGCATCAAATATATGTAAATATACTCTAATTACAAATAATATACAACTTTTAGTAACACATGACCAAAAACCTTTATTATAGTGAACATATGACCAATCTTCAATTTAACATAGAGGAAAGTATTTTCTTTTGGATCAAACTCGATACAAGCAATTCCTGCTGCTTTTAATTTTGATAGAAAAGCTGTCAACACTGTAAAACAAAGACAATAGACGCATCATCTCACATTTTTATTTGTCACTTGAACTGCGAGTGGGAAATACGGCTTCGGAAAGCCCATCTCTCTTGTACTTAGTCCTCTGACATCATTTTAAGTTGGCTCAATAGCTATCCACAAGCTTTCATCTCCACTTACATCAACTCCATGTCACTCTGCGACATCTAACCAGCTGCTTCGACTTTGTGGTCTGGCATGTAACGTCAGTCAATGATCTCCACAGTTTATATCTAAGTCATCTACCTCCATCTCCTTCTGCATGTTAATTTGGAGATGGGTTCATATTCAATTTGTTGCGGAGGTCCTTGCCACTTATCTTGTCTGGCCGGCCATTTGATTATCAATACATACAGAAGGTAGCTGCTGATGAATTTCTGAAGCCTGTTGAGGATACCTTTGATGACTTTAGCAGTCTCTGAAACACAGAACAACTGACTGACTTAACATAAGTATTGAAAATCTGAATCTTGTTCTTTATGCTGAGTACAGGAGATTTCCAGACTGATTTTCCAAGTTAGTAAAAGCAGTTTTTGCCTTTTCTATCCTGCCTTGGATATTCTCATCTACACCACTGGCAATTAAAAGGATGCTGCAAATAAGGATGAAAGAGATTACTTCCCTTGTATTTCCCTTGTTGATGATGATTATTGTTGCCGCTGGTTGGATATCTTCATTCCCTCTGCCTTGTCTATGCTGAAATGAATTCCTGTCTTCGTTGCCTGTCACCTCTGTCAGCTTGCTGATTTTCGCTAGTAAAATCTGCACTTTGTAGGGCAAGAAGCGTAAGTCATCCTAGAAGTTCAGATCTTTTAGTATCTTATTGTTCAATGTATTCCTGTATTCTCACTCCTCACATTCTATCTCATGATCCAGTATACCATAACTAGGAAGACCATCTGTGATATAAGGCCGAACAATAAATGGTAAGGAAATTTATGGTTAGAGGTGGAGTATTAATTAGCTGTGTTTATTTGTCAAGCGTTATCAAAGCAGCTTTTTAACAAGTTCCTTATTTTTACGGTAATTATTCAATCTACTTCGATCAGTAATAAGGAGGTTACATGATGTAGTATATTCTGAAGAGACAAAAGAAGAGTTTTCTAAAAATGGGCATGTTTAACTTGAATAAAGCAAGAACAACATTGGTATGCACAGAATAAAATAGTACCATTATGTATTTCTTTGGTTTCTCATCAGCTGATTACAACCTAAATAAATTATTGCTAAAATCATGTACAGAAGAGTTTTAACATACTTGCAAATTTTTACATGATGTCAGTTTACAGGAAGTTCTGAGATTAGTTAACGGTGCTCAGAAAATTATGCTTATATGGTCTTTACACAAGGAGTTCAAGTTTAAACAAAGTGAATGTATGCATATTATGACGAAGGAGTTGCGTAATAAGGATGAGAGGTACGTGAGATGATACGTAACTAATAAATTGAGTGACAATGTACTGATTTCAACTCAAATTATAGAAACAAGAGACAAGCAAAATTATACTAGATGGAAAGGGGGTTGAGGTTGACACCAAAAGACTACGTGATCAAATGAAAGGGAGAGTGAAGAATTCAAGTTACCAGGGTGAATAAAGACTGATCATTGTTTCCTTCTAGACACCTTGATCGGGTTTCAGGCGTTTGATAGAGATTGCTCTGGCAAACTTGAGGAGAATTGTGAATTTTGTCTATTGATTGTCTATTTAAAACAAAATAATCACCTATACAGAAATATATTATTACCCTTGATGCACACAAAAATAAGATCTTAAAAGAGTATACAATGTTTGTAGCATGAAAAGATTGATTATTAGCATGCTAATCCAATTCATGTCATTTATTTTATTTCGTTTAAGTTACTGGTGAAACACAAGGCTTCAAGGTAGAGTTTTGAAGTTTGGGTAACAGTGGTGTTTTTTTTATTTTTACGGGTGGAGTTACTAGCGTCATGCCTAACCTTCCCTCTTTACTGGCCTTATTGTCACTTTGGCAAGGTTAAGGTGTGCATTGGCTGAAAATCAAAGCCTGGACGAACCCTGACGCACAATCCTATTTATATACTTGTAAAGATTATATTTCTTGTTTGGGTGCATATAATGTTTGTATTTTTTTGAAGGCACTAATGGATGGAGTATTTGGAGTACAATGATCCAAAAGCATACATCATAATCTGTCTCTCTCACATCTCTCCCCAGTTAGTTAGTTAATTATAACAATTTTTCGTTCTCTGTAATTCCCCAGACTTATGTCACTTTACTTCTATGACCTCTTTGAAGTTGTTATCAACTGTAAAACATGAAATTCATATCGAAATACCAGTCATTTACCATTTCATCTAGATACCAAGCTATCAGTGTTTATCGCTATGTGCTTAGTACTTGTCATTTATTAAGATCAGAAATTCTGTCTAACTAGTAATTGCTTACCAAGAAGAAAATCATTAAATCGATTTCATAACACCCGAATATAAAATAATGTAAATGATGAGTGCCATACTTTATTCTGCATATGATAGTGAAGTTTTCCACTTTACCGGTGAATACATTAAACTACATTAAACGTGTTACTAATTCGGTGTATGCACAGATTTACGTTTCAAAAGTTTAAAAATATCTTATTATTATTATTATTCCCTTGCGTTCCGAGTGGAGCATAGGGCTTCAACAACACGTCTCCTTTTTCTGTTCTGTTTTCTGCCGTCTACTTCAGATGGGTCCACGACTGACCAAACTCTTTCATCTATTCCTCACACTATCTCCTCGATATCACCCTCGCACGGACGACCCACTCGTCGCTTCCTATTGGGATTCCACTCGAGCAATGGCCTGGTATGCAATGTCATTGGGTGGCCTCCTTCTCAACCTATTCCCGATCCAGTCATCTCCATTTCCTCTTACATATTTGTTGAGCGATTGGCTATTGCTTGTTGGTTTGTTCCCATGGTTTCTTGTTGCTTATTCTTTCTGGCCATTTGATCTTTGGCATGGAGTCAGCAAAGGCGGATGTTGATGAAAGTCAGCAACCTGTTGGAAATCCTTTTTGTGACATGCAGTGCAAGTAGCATACCCCTATGGAAGAAGTGACTGACTTGACAGTGGTGTTGAACAGAATCGGAATCTTGTTGCTAATACTGAGTGCAAAAGATATCTAAACTGGAACTGATAGTGTTCTCTGAGCTCCTTGGTTTAATTGCGGAGCTTTCATCGTCTTTCTGGACGACATCTTCAGCGCAGTATTTAGGATAAAGTGAAATGATTTAAATTTCTTCATGAGTCTCCCGGTAACCATCTTTAGATATTTATTGACCGTTTT